GGTGGCCCTCCTCTGAACCCTCTCCAGGCTGGCCACATCCCTTTTGAAGTGCGGCGCCCAGTACTGGACGCAGTACTCCAACTGTGGCCTGACCAAAGTCGCATAGAGGGGGAGTATCACCTCTCTGGACCGGCTTGAGATGCACCTTTGGATGCATGACAAGGTATGGTTGGCCTTGCTGGCTGCAGTCTGGCATTGGCGGCTTATGTTCATCTTGGAGTCAATAATGACTCCGAGATCCCTTTCTCTCTCTCCCTTCAAGTGTGTCCACCTCGCCCCACATCTTAGTGTCATCAGCAAACTTAGACAGCGTGCTTTCCACCCCCTCGTCCAAGTCGCTGATGAAGATGTTAAACAGTGCAGGCCCGAGGACCGAGCCCTGGGGTACCCCACTGCTCACATCTTGCCAGGTTGAGTACAGCCTGTCCACCACTACTCTCTGGGTGCGCCCCATCAGCCAATTTTTTACCCATCCAACTGTGCAGGCATCAATGCCACAGTCACTTAATTTATTGATGAGGATGGGGTGAAAGGCCTTCTTAAAGTCTAGAAAGACTATGTCCACAGCGACACCATCATCCAAGTTACTTGGTCATAAAAGGCAATCAGGTTGGTCTGGCAGGACCTGCCTTTGGTGAACCCATGCTGATTGCCCCCTGAGCATGATCTCCCCTGCAGGCCCCCCACAGATATGCTCCTTGATGATCCTCTTCAAGAGCTTCCCGAGCACTGAGGTGAGGTTTTACAGGCCTGTAATTACTTGGGTCCTCCTTCCTCCCCTTCTTAAAAATAGGGACCACATTAGCCACATTCCAATCCCCCGGCACCTGGCCAGATGACCATGAATGCTCATACAGCCAGGCCAAAGGCTCTGCAATGACCCCTGCCAGCTCCCTCAACACCCTTGGGTGGAGGGCATCTGGACCTGCAGATTTAAAAATGTCTAGCCCTTCCAGAAGATCTCTAACTACATCTGCACTGACTGAAGGTTTGATAGAGCTCTCCCCAAGATTGTCCCTACCTCTGGTAGGTGGGATATCCTGGTCCATGTTCAGGAAAACAGAGGCAAAGAAACTGTTAAAATATCAGCTTTCTTGTCTGGCGTGGCCACCAGATTACCGTTTGTGTCATTATAGACATCCTTAGCCTGGAAGATTAGATGCTCTTGATTTGATTCTGTCCTTCCACCACTTTGACTTCAGAATAGTTACTTTTGACTTGTCATGGAGTAAACAATAGCAGAATTGGGCTATAGAATAAACATTTTGTGCCCATAAATAACATCTTTGCATCTTAGTCATTGATTGATAATAGCCATCTTGGGGATTAACTTGAACTGAAAATGACAGTTTTATGTTAGTGTTCCTTAAATTCCATTCTTGGTATAATGGAAACTTCATCCTGGGAACTGCTGTAGGAATTTGTGTGAAGTTTCATTCCAATGAATCTTAATTCTTATTGGTTGTTTCTTGCCTCGTGGGGGTGGGGGTGGGGGGTGGGAATCAAACTGCTATACTAGATCAAGTGACAGAGATGCCAGAATGTATTTTACAGGTATTTCTTTGCAGCAATCCTCCACAACTAGATTAGCTGGGTTACTAGGCTAGTTAGGACTCAGGCTGCCAACACAGCCTGTGAAGGAAGAAGGCAGGGGAGGGTGAATCAGGGATGCATAAATGAAGTGAGCTGTGGCTCACAAAAGCTTTTGCATCTCTGATTCTGTTAGTTTATAAAGTGCATCTTTGCTATGCTTTTTGCCTGACTTCAGACTAACGAAAACTTTGCAGAAGGAAGAACTCTGAATAAATGGAGGAATGAATGGGCGCTTGTATGAAAACCTCAGTAACATAAAAGGTGAATAACATGTTCTGTGCAGCAGAAATTCATTTGTGGGATTCTGCAGCAGAGAATCTTGATGAATGCTGAGGATTTAATTCACTCTCATTCTTGATACTGGCAGAAAACCAGGTTCTGCTTCAGAACTCTTTTTCTGAGGTCCAGAGCATCCTACAATAGCGGGTACTCTGTGAGGCAACTACCACAAATGTCATTCTGACTTTAACATAACCAAAAAAATCCAGCGCTTTTAAGTTGAATTAGCCAGCCTCAAGTCCAGCAAATAAAATCAACTGAATCTAAGGACAGCTAATCTGAAACTTAAGCATGGCCATGCTTTTATTGTTGTTGCTTTTTTAATTTTAGTTCCTAGAGGTATTCTTTATTTGAAAAGAAGAGCACCATCATGTACCATTTTTAGGGAGTGTAAGAATTTGTAAAGAGATGAGAAAATGAGTCAAACGGGAGAGATTCCATGGAGGCAGGATGTAGGGTAGTGATTCTCAAACAGTGCGCTGTGCCGTATTAGCAGTGTTAGGTGTGCAAAGACCTATAGCACAGATTTTGAGTAGGAATCCATTATGTCAAAAGCTGCTGACCTACAGTTGCAAAGTACTCAGACCACAATAGAATTTCTCTGTTATTTTTCTGTAGCTAAACAAAGAGTGAAAACTAAGAGTTGGCTTTTTCTGAGCAGTGTCTTGAGTCTGAAAAGGCTGAGAAAAGGTGTAGGACAGGGGTGTCTAAATTTATCTGACCCCATGGTTGGTAAGGGGCCAGTCTGCAGGCTGGATCAGGCCACAGAACCCCTTCCTTCTCTTCTACCCCATCCCCTCTCCCCACCCCTCAGCATGCCAGATCTACTGTGGGATCTGTGCTGTGCACAACGCACAAGCCAGAATCCACAATGCCACAGTACCTCCCAGGTGGTCCAAAACTGTTACATGTGGGACCCATGACTGCTGCATGTGATACTTCCAGATGCAGGGTGCGGTGTGGGTTCTGGGCTGGCTGGAGCAGGTGCTATGTGACAGGTATTCCTGGACCAGTGGGGGGTTAACATCACATTTAGTTTGGATCCCAGAGCTGCTGGGATGTGCAGCACGTGTGGTACACATTCTAGGCCCTGCCAACAAAGGGTGGGCCAGTTTATGTGGATCAACTTAGACCAAGGGCCAGCACCAAAGGCTCTGTGGGCTGTATCTTTGACACCGCTTGTACAGGGGAAGAAGAGAAACATTACCATACATGAAGATTTAATAAACAGTTCACAGAAATGTTGTTTTTTGTTTTTTTTAAGCAATACATATCTGCTATAATGTTCTGTCAGATGGTGAGCTTTTATTGATAAAATCCTGGCCTCGTCAAACTCAGATTTATATTTTGCCACTGATTTTATTGTAGCTCGGCTTTCACCATGGGTTTTTGGAGGAAAATCTCCAGGGCTGCTGGGCAAAGCTCAATTTAATTCTGTAGGACTTTTTCATAAGAAGAATGATACTTATTTGTAAACTAAATGAAAATTAATTTTTGTGGCAACTTAGTCGGTGCCTTTTTAGGCCTGGACTCAGGCTAGGCCTTTTGTGTGGTAGTCTGTTATTTTTAAGTAGAGATATGAAACTTGAAGAAATGGATCCTTTCACTATTACCATAAATTAAGGCTAGAGAGGGAGGCAGTCTTAGTTTAACTTGGCCACCACCCTTTTGAGAGATTGTGGGGAACCTTGCAATAAATGTAGACAAATATACAACCCATGAATGTCGCACATCATATACAGGCAAGGTTCCTTGGGTGAATTTGATATCTTTTATTAGACCAACCCAAATAGTTGGAGAAAAGTTATTAAGCAAGCTTTCGGGTTCAAAAACCCTTCGTCAGGCTAAGGAAGTTTCAGCAGTTGGTGTGTGCTCTTCCTGGATGGAATGAAAAGTAAACAAGCCAGGGGCACATCATATACTTCACTTCCCAAATTACTCATCCAAAAATGTTTTTGTGTACTGACAAGCGGTTTACTAAGCTTAGTTATTTATTCTTACATAATTATGTAGTTGTACTAATTTATTTAGTTTTAGACTCTTTTCTCTACAGAAGGAAATGGCTATGCATTTGAACTTTGCTGTGCCAGAACTTTATAGACTTATTTGGAGCTCTGGTGGTAGCTTGAACTTTCTGTTGCACCGCAGAGAAACAGGAAAGGAGCTGTCACAAAGAAACATTGCATGGAAGTTTTGGTATAGTACATGCTTCCAGCAACTGGAGACCAATAGGAAGATTTTTAAACTCCCTCTTTTCCCACTGACTGTTGAAACACTCATTTCATATAGATAGTGATTTGAAGATCATGCACCACATATTTAGCTGGACTTGAAGCAGGTGATAGCAATGCTAGCTGAGAGAGAGAAAATTGTCACAAGGATTTATCTGTCTAGTTGCATTTTTATATTTTAGGAAAATGGTTTGCTTGTGTGGTAGAAAGCCTGTCTTCTATGCAAATTTTTCTGAGGACAGAGGAGTTCTGTGACTGGAGCTACCTAGCAATAAGACTAAATGGGTCCTCTTTTTCTCGCTCACTCAGATACTGAGCAACCTGCAAACAAATCAACAGAAAAATGGAGACTCTCAAGTAAGGCACCTATCTTTTTGTATTCTTATGTATGTATTAAGTACACAGTTGAAGGGATTGTGTCTTTTTAACGACACTGCTAATTTATGTTTGAAGAATAGACTCACCAGTACCTTGTCCTCTAGCTAGCATGCCTTACCATTCTTTGGTGTTTCCTAGAGCTAGTCTTTTTGTGCTATGGATACCCAGAATCCTTTTCATCAATCATTTGTTTGAAAGATGATTAAAAAATTGACTATTTGGATCTAGTCCTAAAGAAATATATAGCCATGAGGGTTAGAAACTTTCTGCAAAGATGAAAACTCAGGCTTTTCATGTAATCTTATTAATTGATGTGAGGAACTTTAAAAACAAAACAAAGCAAAACAAAGTAGCCCCTTAAGACCGTAATATTGCAAGACTTGCTATAAGTCGCACGAGTTAACAATATTACAGCCATATTCCAGAGCCTTTGTTAAGGCTATAATCTGTTGTCTCTTTCAAACCTTTCAGTCGGTTGTAAGTTTTTTAGTACTTCTCCGCAGAGCTGTTTGCTGCGTGTTCGTCAGTGTGTTCTTGTGTATAGTACAAATTTCTACACTTAATGGTGTTTGTATGCAAATACACAAACAGAATGTACTGAAGAATTTCTTCAAGTATTATGGAAAACCAGAAGTAACTATCTTCCTTCTATCAACTGGTGGTGATGGTTTAATGTATTTCAATGTTCTTAAGAAAGGAACAGCTACCTCGGAAGGGTTCAGTTAAAATGTTCAGTACTCATTAATGGTGTAGCATCATTACACCCAAGAAGTTCTCAAATCTTCTTGTCTTCATGATCCAAGTAGATTGCAAAGAACACTTTGCCATACTCTTTCCTGCATTGTTGGATAGAACCTCTTGCAGCAACTTAAATGTTGTTTCCAGTTAGTTCTCCCTGAAATAATGCATTTTTTCTCTGCATACATGCTTGTCATTTTCATGCTTGATTATCCATCTTGTGCTAATGTTCTTGCTGATCTGAGTTTTTCTTTAAATTGTCCTTTTTCTACATTTTTTCGCATCTAGTAATGGAGCTATTAATTTAAATCTGTCTGGAAGAGTATATTCAGGCAGAAATACTTCAGTAGTTTCTTTAAGTTACCATATTTTCTTACATATAACATGAACATCCTTCCCTCCTGCAAACCAGCTGGGGGAAATATGGGTGCATGTTGTATGTATGAAATACTGATCCCCAAGAGTTCTGGAGATTTGGCAGTGAGCCATTGCATTTATCACTGCCACCATTCCACTACTGCTAAATCTATGGACTCCTGCAGAGCCTCCCAGTAGATTGGCATGGCACTGCGTGCTGGATTGGACTGACTTGCAGGGTCAGTCAGCAGCTGGACCCATTGCTTGGCCCTAGCCTTGGAGACACCAGGTGCTAGGTACTTACTTGTACTCCAAGGTAAGAGTGTCTTCCTACCTGAAGATTCCCAAAACAGGGTGCATGTTATATCCAGTGATGTGCTAAAAGTGAGAGAATTTTTTGTGCTATGTTGAAGGTTGTTAACATAAAAACAGTTGTAACCATCTTCTGAAGGCCAAGTCTCTGCCTTAAGTTTTTTTTTTTTTTATAATAACTGCTTGTTCTCTGCCACTTCTGGGGTGTCAAAGAATTTTTGGATTTCTCAAGTAAAGTTTCTGTCGAAGAGTTCCTGAAGACCTGGAACTGACTCAGCTGATTATTGTGGCTATGTTTCTATGATAAGCATGACATCAACATCACTTGCAGTATCATCAGGCAACAGTGTAAAATAACACTTTTCATCTATTTCAGTAGCCAGTTTCACTCAGTGGCATACTTGATTTTGAATAACTTCAGGAAATCATTTTTCTCTCTGTTCTGAGAATACCATAAATCTCTTCTACCTTGCCACTTAACAAATCTTGACAACATTAACATTTGACTTCAGATGAATTGTCTGTTTTCATTCCTTAAGTCCATGCAATCACTTGTTTCTTACCACTTCCTTCCACTTCAGGCATGTTAAATCAGATGGTCATATACTGATGTTTAATCACTAAACACTAATCACCCTTTTGCAATATTGATCAACAGCTTTCACATATAATATAAATAGGATGAGTAATGGCCACTTAGTAAACACTAAGGAGTACAAAATAAGGCAAGTTAACCAGTTTTCTGTAGAACCTTATGCCTGCCGCACCTTCCAGAAGCTTCTTGATCCTAGCAAACATAACTCCCTAGAACTTGTTCTGCTCACTCCCCTCTTTGCAGCATTGAATGATACTTCATTCCAGCCACAGCTGATACCTCTTCCAACAACTGCCCGCCCCCATTCCCCTCTTTGCATCTCAGTTTCTAAACTTCCTTAATGTGTTTCTAATAGTAATCTCATCAGTTGTATCCTCTTGAGGATACAACTCATGCCAGTCATATATAGTAATGTGTAACAAAAACATTTTGAAACATGAGATGCACAAGTTTAAAAAAAACTGGGGAAAACCCTGGTGGGTAGGTGTGTATTGTGTGGATTTAGAGTTATGACTTCTGTCTGGGGTAGGAGATGCAGTTACTGCACTGTCTTGCTATCCAGTGTGACCTTTTCTCTAATTATTTTTGTCTGACTTTTCATATCCTGTTTTCTACCAAATTAGACAAGAGAGCATACTAAAGAGCTGCTGACTTCTGCTGGTGTCTGCAAGATTAGAAGCTTTCTCTGTACCATGTCATTTGTTTAGTTTGTGTCTGTTGAGTCTCTTCTGTGACTTTGAAGAAACTTGCCTTGCTTTTATCATTTTTTATACTAAAAATAAAGTCCAGGTACCACTTAAATAACACCTCAAAACTTGAAATACATTTTGAAGAGGCTGCACGTTGGGTAAGGAAACAGGAAATCCGGTTTGGACCCCTTTGCGTTGGGCCTGGGTATATGCTCT